GATCACTGACCTTCTGATTTCTCAGTGTTTTTAAGTCAAAATGGAATTTCTTTTCATCACAAACTGCCTGTTTCCCAAAACAAAGCTGTGCTCCAATGTCATTGTGTGCCTGTGGGGCAAGCCAAGAAAGCAGGGGATCTGATCTCAGAGGCAATGGGGTGTGTGCCTACAGATGTCTCAGTAAAAGAGGCCACTTGCTTAAAGGTTACTTGTATTTTAGCCTAGCTTACTACCTGTGTAACCTTGGGAAAAATTATTTAATCTCTTCTCATCAGAACAAATGGGCATTGTGGTATTCATCTCACAGCCTTGTTACAAGAGTGAAAAGAAACTATGCAAACTAGGTACTCTAACAAAAGAGGACTCTCCTTTTTCTTTTATTTCCTTAGTGTTTCTTTCAGGAACTGACACATAAGTGAGTGAACCATACCAAAGCCAAACAACAGCTTAGATATCTGTGCAAGAGAGCCAATGGAATTGGGCTACAGGGAGACTAGACAGAACCATGTCCTGAGGCCAGGGTGGAACCCAGTAGACGTCCAACCAGAGGCACCTTAGAAGAAAGGCCTGGCGATCTACTTCCAAAATATCAGCCATGGAAAAACTTGCAGAGCACAGTTCTACTCTGACACACATGGTGTCGTTATGAGTCGGGCTCAACTCAAAGGCAATTTTTTTTTTTTTTTTTGGCAGATTTACAAGTCTAGAGTAGAAGTGGGATGTAAGTGAGGTCAAAATGATGGGAAATGAAATTGTACTGCCCTAGCATATATTACAGACCTAGAAGTAGGGTACAGTAGAGATAGAACAGAAGACACACCAAATTTTCTTCCTTTCCCCAAAGCCTTATGCAGTCTTAGCACAAAAAAAGTATTCACTGCATATTTGTTGAATTGATATCTGCACACTGGCCAGACCTCCCATATGATAGGCTGCAGAGTATCTGGCATGTTCTTGACTTGCTTGCTGACAATTCAATCACCCAGAAAGTCAAGAGAGTGACTCAGGGCTTTGTTATTCTGTACCTAATTCAAACCAACAAAGATAAATTGGTTAGGTAATTAAAGGTGTCAGGAATTTAGGAGAAAGCGAACATGTCAGCATCGTGTTTGTGAAAGCCAGGAAGAGTTAAGCACAATCAGACATGTATTCTAGATATAGAAAACAGACAGTGGTACTAGGAAATGGTTTGTTTTCAAGCATGAAACTGGAAGGGATGATGATTCTAAGGAGGATTAGAAGTTCTTACGAATTACCCAGTGAGCTAGAGAAGGCAGTGGGATACTCCATTGCAGCTACCTAGCACTCCTTTTAATGTGACCACATTTTAAAGAGAACATTCCCATAGAAGGCAGGTTAGGGCTCACCTCTGCGGAGAGGAAGTGACCCAGAGGGACTATGAAGGAGGCTTCTGGGGTGCTGGTAATGTCCCTTTTTTACCTGGATGCTGGTCATAGGGGTATGTTCACTTTGTGAAAAATTTGTCCAGCTGTATTTAAGATCACTATACTTGTCTGCATATATGTCATACTTCAAACCAACTGTATAACAATTATTAATATTTAGTATTTTTCCTTCAGGACTTATATTTTAAATGTTTAGCTTTGCATATGCCTAGCTTTACATGCTAGTTTACACATGTGAGATTGTAATTTTTTAAAAAATTGTACCTGGCTTTATTCATTTAACGTGATTTTATGAGTACTAGTCCATGTTATTACATGGTCCTCACAATCATAACAACTTCATAATATTCCTCTGTATGGATAGGGCACAACTTACTTTATCATTCCTGTATGGTTAAACAAATAGATATGCTGCTCCTAATTTTCACTTTTACAAACAACCCTGGAATCAACATCTTTGGGTATGAAGTTTCTTCTACATTTAAGGTTATTCCGTGGGAATAGATTATTTGCTACAGAGAGAAGAGAACTGACTCTCTTTGAAGTCTGGAGACATATTCACAAATTAACACTAGCAATGTTGACCTCATCAAACCTTTCCCACTGCTATATTAAAGAACCATGCACAAGACTAGCAAGTTTTCCATTATATGATTTGCAAATCTTTTGTCTTTGTATAAAATTGGAGTTCCTTCTGAACATTTCTAGTCTCTTAACACCGCTCTCATTCTATACAATTTCTCCATGATACTGACCGTAGTGCTGCAAAGTCATTTATACTTTTAACTATCTCAGGTTTCAGTTCATTGGCCCTTTAAAGCAAAACACAGAAATAGAAGCCAACAGAGTTGAAGAACTTTGCCCTTTCTCCAAACATGAAAAAAACAAAGCTAATTTGCTCATTTGCAAGGTTTAACTCATTTGTGACCTCAGCTTTTTGGCATCACACTTACGGAGTTCTACTTTATTTTTATACTTGTTCTTTTTCTCTCTTTCTATCTTCTTTAAAAAAAAAAATTTCTTGAATTAATCACACACTTCAAATTTCTTATAAGCACTTCATATAAATATTTCATATATTTGAACCATTATCTGTCATATTCTTTTTACACTTCTACATTTTCCATTTTATAAAAAAAGCAATTGCTTATTTTAAAAACAAGTACTTTCCAGCATAAAAAAAGAGACAGAAACACTCGTTCCAAAGAACAAGCTATGTCAACCCAACCCTCTTTCTTTGAGAGTTCTACAATATCTGAAATGAATTTGAATCTATTCTCAAGCTGATTTTGTGGAAAAACACAGTAGTAGGATATGAGTGCATAAGCAATTAAGGAGACTCGTAACTAGTTAGATAACCAAACCAAAGATTTTGATGAACAATAAATGGCAACAGGAAGGATTCTAGTACATGCCACAGGGATCTACCCTTAACATTTTCCAGCTCCCAATTTTCAGTAATGTTTCAAAGAGATTAGAAAAAATTAAGGTCAGTAATTTTCAGACAGTGAAGAATATGATGACAGGCTGTACCAAGTGGATCTCTCAAAGAAGATGGAAGTCAATAGTGGTAAATATAAGACTCTGTATTTGAACTCCAGAGATACAACCACATTTATATATGCAGAATCAAGCCTATGGCAAAGATATTTGAGGGGAAAGGGGGATTTGATGGTACACTCATTGTGATCACTGAAAAGCTGCAGTATTGGCTATGTTAACAGAAGTCCAGTATAAGTAAGGAAAAGAGTGATAATCTAGCTAAGCAAGACTGCATGTAGAATGTTCCTTCCCATCCTGGTCACTGCACATTAAAAGCGACAAACTGGAGGATGCCCCAGGATGAGCAGCGAGGATGGTTCAGGGGACTTGAACACTTACCATAGGAGGAAATGTTGAAGAAGAAGAATGTTAGCAGAACCTGAGAATCATCTTTAACATTCAGAAATCCATCGCAAGCAGTCAAGGCTAGACTTTCTGTGCACTTGAGGAGCAGAAGCAAGGCCACTGGGGATAATTATAGGGAGTCATATTTGTGTTCAATAGGAGTAACAATATCTAACATTCAGAGGCATGCAAAAACAGAACAGACTTCTGCTGTTGACTTTACCATTTCTTCTCTACTTCTGAGTACGTGAAAGATTCATTTCCCTGCTTCACTGAAGTTAGGCATGGCCATGTGACTGGTTCTGGCCAATGAAGTGGAAGTGGAAGTTATGCTTCGAATCCAAAGTTAGGCATGGCCATGTGACTGGTTGTGGCCAATGAAGTGGAAGTGGAAGTTATGCTTCGAATCCAAAGTTAGGCATGGCCATGTGACTGGTTGTGGCCAATGAAGTGGAAGTGGAAGTTATGCTTCGAATCCAAAGTTAGGCATGGCCATGTGACTGGTTGTGGCCAATGAAGTGGAAGTGGAAGTTATGCTTCGAATCCAAAGCATTTAAATGCCAATGTTTGACTCTTCAGCCTTCTCTTCCCCTGCCCCTGTGAAACCTTAAGCCTTCTGCTAACATGGAGATATCAGCCTAGGTCGCTGAGTGACTACAATGATTACAGTATCACCCATCTCTGACCCCAACCTTACACAACACTGGACATGTAGTTTGAATGAAAAAGTAAGCTTTTGCTATTTTTAGACACTGAAGTTTGGGGGTTTTATTATTGCAGCATAACCTTCCCTATCCTGACTAACACAAGTGCCTTCAAAATCCAGTGTTTCCTTGTTACTGAGCATCAGCAAGACATTCATTGGATTCTCAAGTTTTATGGTTTTGTGACTCACATACTTGCATTTTTTCACCTTTCATTTCCATTGCTACACTGCATTCAGGCTGTTGCTGAGGGTAGTAATTTTGTCAACTGGAATTTTCAACTGGCTCCAGGCCCTCCTGGAAAATGGACGCCAATAAACTAGGCTACAATGACTCCTCTTCCTAAGCACATTCTTCTGTAACTCTACTGCATGCCCAGCAAGATCACAAAAGTATGGATCCTGTCCACCTGGGAAACAACCAACAGTAACTAGATCGTTCACCCAGCAAAGACTATTGCCACAGAGACACACGCACATCATCAATGAAGAAGACAGTGAGGCTCACTGGAGATCGTAGAGCCAAAGTGACATTCTGAACATGAACTCTGCAGTTTTACTTTTATATATTCATATTGTCTAGGTTTTTGCCAAGTGTCCATTCATTTGCAACATAGTTTCCCAAGGATTTCTTTGGGATCATCTGCTAACCCACACAATTGAATGAAGCATACTGCATGCCACAATATCTCAAATAGGGGTTATTGTTAAAATTGTTCTGTCATGGGCAGTATCCCATGTTTATAAAGTGGTTCTGTCTGGGGTTGAGGTTTATGAGGTGGCAAGAACCAGGAAGCAAAACAAACAAAATTTGTAAATAGCCTGAGAAGAAACGAAGAAATAGAAGTAAAAAGTGATTCCAGTGTGGAAAAAAAATGGAAAAGACAAATTTTAAATTATAATTAAAAAATATATACACATGCATATATATTCAAAAAATGTTCTTTACATAACAAACCAAACCCACAACTAATTAACTGGAGTCTCATTTTTGTTGTTCACAGGAGACCAAAATCAACTGTGTGCGTCTGGCTACCAAAGGTATGTTGGCACGTCTTTGTCTTCAGCCATTTAAGTATTTCCCTCTCTAGCCACACAGAGAAAGTTTAGACAACAATCACTAAAAACAACATTAATGAATTGCTATTCTCCCTGTGGTCATTTGCATCTAAACCATAATCCTAGGACACAGACTAAGAGCACAATGCGTGAAGCATATAGTAAGAGCTCAAAACATATTTGTTGGAAGGATGGATGGATGGATGGACGGATGGACGGATGGATGAATGGATGAATGGGAGGACAGAGTAGTACATTAATCAGTGGAATGATGAAGGTAAAATTTACTCAGATTTTCTTCTGCGATATATTTTCAGTGTATTTGAGTCTATATTTATGTGTATATTTTTCTTTAAGCATGTCCATTAGACCCATTTTCTGGGTTTTGTACTTTATTCAATTTAGTGTAGTTTGGTGGATTATATTATCTGAACTCAGAATTGGGAACATGTGACCTGACAGTCAAGAGATGTATATGGGGATAATGGAAAAGAACAT